AATTTTCAATCTTAATAATTGGCATCATAATTTTTCTCCATGCATAATTCCTATATATTAAAAAATGTTAAATGAATAATGTTATTGTATAAGAAATTGTAAGGTTCACTAATCGCCCTCACATATCCATAACGATATCACCCTTTCATATAATATTTACACAGAAAATGACACAAATAATTTCGATATCACATCAGGCTGCTTCAGAAACTCACCTTAAATTTAATGATCATGATAATTTTAATCATAAAAAAAATGCGCCATTAAAGATAAAGTCGCGACTTCTAGGAGACACGCCGGGTATAATTCTCCTTTCCCCGAGAGGCCGGAGATAATCTGCTGAATAACGATCTCACAGAAGGATCCAGTATTCACCGCGGCGTTCCGATTTCACTGACCGGTAGTGTTCCAGTATCTACCGTGCCGTAACAGCGCGGAGATACCGCGAAGAGACGACCGGACATTTAGCCGAGTTCTCTCCGTCGCGTCGGTCGTTAAAGAGGCGCGGACCGCCTCTAATCGCCGTGGATGGATACCGACTAGCTCTGGAAGAAGACGGTAGAAAGAGCTTTGTAATGACGGGCGCCAGTCTTAAAACCAGACGGATGAGAGTAACATTTCGGCCGTTTGGTTTCATGGCTCCTCGATACTTCTTTTCTCCAGCGAGCTGCGCAAAAATGTCGAACCTGCGCCAACGCCACACTGCACTGGAGGGAAAAGGAGATCCAAATTGCTCTATTTAACGGCGCGGAGCGGTGGCTTAAGGGGCCATTTGCGCCTCTTCGCGAGAACGCGTTGCAGCACACGGCGTTATTCGATATCAGACTATTATTACGAAAGGGCAAATTGCGCGATGAAATTCCTCGCAACGCGAGATTCGTTGCTCCGACGCGCCTCGCGTCGTAAATCCGGTGGTAATTTGTAAAGTGAATCGGACGCTTTAACTCCATCATTATGTCAAATCTCGCGACGTGCTTGTGGACTGTCAAAACCGCGAGATACAGTCGTATTCGCCGTACCGGATGTCTCGGACCTGACAAGCCGGTCTTCCCTTCCCATCCACGGAGGCTGGACCGATTCGCGCGTTAAGGATAATTCATAACGCGCCGACGAGATGTGCATCGTCGCTGAAACGTATCGTCCACGTTATCGCGCGCGGTCTAATAAAATTCCTCGATGAGCAAGGCGCGATTGCACGCCTGGTGGGAGCACCAATTATTGTGCTCGCAACGCGTTACCATAAAAATTGCAACCGTGTTACCATAAACACTGTAACTTTTCTCGCAATATAATTGACGATGTAACTAACCCGCGTCTAACATCGTAGAAAAACCTCGATAAAAGGAAATAAGAAGTGCTCCTTCCCCCCCTCAAGCTCTGCTTATTCATTAACTACATCGTTAATATCGATTAATGAGTCTCTTAACCATAATAAAATTATCACGGTGTTTCGGACTGCGTTAAAAGGGTATTCAACTACAATAGCGAGCTCAACGTGCGCGGAGCCTCTCGCGCGCGATCTCGCTCGCTTCCTCCGCGTCACGATCTGCCGATGACCGATGGGACGTCGACGATCCTCGAGGAGACCCGTTGAATGAAACGAGCCGTTAAACGCGCACGCAGGAATCTCTCTTTTCCTCCGCGAATTCTCAGAATCGTATCCCTGAACTTTTGTCGGGACGCCGCTTTCGCGCGTGTGCGGCACAGGAATCCGCGCATAAATAATGCACGCCGTATACGACGTTTGAGAGAGCGAAATGAGCGACGCCGATTGTCCGTCCGGTGGCGTCGATTTATGCGTGTACTTCGACCCGACGTGACGTCGACGATGATGGCCGCGCGGCAGAGCGACAGCGACGGCGGCGGCAACGCCTGCGGCCGCGGGCGATGGCGACGACGACGACGACGGCACCGCGCGCGCTGCACCGAACGAACGCGAACGGTGCGAACGGACCTTAAACTCTCCGCGCTGCATTTTGCGTCGGTATGCATTCCCGCGCGCTCGCGGGAAACACGCGCACAGGAGAAGATACAGATATCTCTCTCTCCCTTCGTCGCTCGACACCGCGCCACGTGATTGCACGCCGTCGGTCGTCGTCGTCGTCACCGTCGTCACCGCACCGTCACCAGCCATTCTGCGCGACTTGCATCCGCAAGTTCGCAGCTGCGGCTGCGGCGGGCCCTCCCCCCTTCCTCCTTCCCCCCGTCCGCCGCCCGTGTGGATTTTTAGCGCGGATTCTTGCCGCGCGCTTGACGCGTCGGCTCGACACACGATAATTGAGTGGCTAAGTGCCGTAGGTGCCTAACCGGCAATTTCTAATATTTCATTTAAATAACGGAGACGCGCGAGGGAAACGTGGAAGGCACATTTGTCAACTGGCACATTAGGCGCTGAAGAGTTATGAAAGGCCTTTATACCTATATTAACTATTAACCCTAGATACCTGAGAATTGCAATAACTTCCTCCGTAGCTCAACTACGTCAAAATAACTCGAAAAATAACTTTACTGTCTTCGACTGTTGTTGCAATTGCGAATGTAGACTCTTTGACATCGATTCTTTTCTTTCAAGTATCACCCAAGAGCGTCTTTTCGAATATAGATAATAAACTAGGATTAGAAACAGTATAAGTGCCAAAGTGTCAGCAAGTTTAGAATGAAGAAAATATATTTTTCTCCTATTTTTGATGAATCTTTTCACACTTTACGTCGAAATTGCAACGAAATAAATTTTATAAACATAAATTGATGCATAATCAAGTAAAAAAATATTAAAATCGTTTCATATACTTTACACACAGTACATCACTTGTATAATTTCGATAAAATTTTTACTATTTTATTTATATAAAAAAAAAGATATAAATTCGATAACTGTATGGCTCTTTGGAGTGCTAAAGTGTTAGGAATTGAAAAATGATCTAGTCATCTAGGTCTGTTCGTGTTGCCTGTACTTTTTGCACCTAGAATCTACCCTTTATCTTTCTCCAACGCCCAATGTAGATTTTTCTCATTTTAAGTGCAGAAATTTTGAGGAATTTCAAGCAACGCGAACAGATCTTGTGTCAACCATGAAATGATGAAGCATAATTTAGGAAAGAATGTATCGAATGAAAAGATATAACACCGAAAAAATATTTTCCCATTTTAAACAATTTTCTTTTTCTATTTATCATGGTTTAAAGCGTCGCCTGAATAAAATAGATTCACGCGGCAGACGTAATTTGTGAAAAAGAATTATCACACAATTCACCCACAACTCCAAGCCTCCAAGATTGAATTACTTCAAATTTGACAGCTAATTGGCGACATATCGTAACGAAATACGTAAAACGATACATCTCGTCTATCATACGTAACGTGCAACGCCGAGCTTTATGCCAAGCCAAAAGCTCGAGCTTTATAATTATAAACACTATAATGCATTATTAACGTTTTAATTATGCGCGTGCCGCGCTAAATAGTTGAACATAAACACTCGCTTTGCAGTTCTAACATTTTGTTGAACTCATATTTGTGTGCGTTACGTTCGTTTAATGTCATTAAAAGATCAATTGTCATTTTACATGAGTTATTTTATTATTAATTAATAATTAATAACTTACAGAGGACCACCACTTGGTTTAAAATTCCGTTTCAGGCATAACAATCAGTTGTGTCTTTCCGTTTCATTATTTTTACGATGATTATTATAGTCTTTATCTTCCGTGATAGATTGTATCGTAATGAAAATACAGTATCGTAATTTTTAAAACTTATGATGTGCACATATAATCTATGTAAATAGATTCGGGTGCAGAAGAAAGAAACGCTCAATGTGTATTATCGCTTTTATCGTCTTCTGATAAGTTTATTTCTTATCATCGGCACAGAACGTAGTGCTTTTCCAAACTACTTGAGATATCAAGCGTTTCCACTAATTAAAAAAAAAGTAAAATAAGAGTATGTGAGTTATATTTTCGCGGAGCAATTAATCACAAGATGTGTTGATTTTTTTTTTTTTTCGAAATCAGTATCTATACACAGACTTTAATAATAATTAACATAAAATTTAATAATTAGGATAAACTAAAAATTAATCGACAAAAGGATCACAGCATATTTTTCGATCATTATATTACTGAAAGTACCAAGTGTGTTTAAAAATGCATTAATTACGAAACAGAAGCTCTTCTCAGGCGTCTCTCTGAAACGTCCGTTCGTATAATATAATCGCGTAACGTGAATCATCAGAAATATCGTTACGTGCGCACAAATTCCAGCCGGATGAATTCTCGCGTCTAACCTTCGCACTGTCGCGTGTCACAATTGTTTCCATACGAAAACGGAAGTCTTCATACCGCTGTAAAACGTGACTCCGAGCGCGACTTGGGATCTCGCATTCATGCCGCGCATGTTACCTCGAACTCGGTTACCCGATTCTCGTCCCGCCCGATAAAAATCGCGCGATTCTTGCATTAAATGAAACACCGGCCGCCGCGGCCGCCACACTTTGGGAACGTGGACAGCGTTTGACGTTTTTATCGCATTTCACGTGAGTCATCGGTTTTACGAGAATTATTATATTGTATATTGCGCACTTGTTAAAAAGAAGAGTTTTGTCCGTCTTGAAAGAGCGACAAAAAAACGACAAAAAACTACTCCGAGTTGTGAGAGATCATTAAAGTGGGAATTAATGCCGGCGCGAGCTACGCGTTTCATCACAGCCATCCGATATTTTAACGATATATGCTTAGGACACACGTGTGTACGCACGTTTCTGCCCGTGCATCTCGAAATGTCTCTCGAGAAACCGAGAGATTTAACATGAAATAGCTGATGCGCGCCGCGCGTTTCTCATTGCCGTTCACGTCCCTGATCTAAGACACGTTTCGGGAAAAGCATCTCAATGTTGTGACTTAAATTAGATCTTGGCAAACCCCGTTACTCCGGCTTTGCCTCGAAGGCAAGGCGTTAAACGCAACCTCGGCGGAGAGTGTGCGACGCGAAAATTCACTTACCTTCCAACCGGCGCTGCTGTTGTTGTCGCCCTTGTCCTTGAAGTAGGACACGTTCTGGACCATCCACTCGTAGATCTGCGAGAGGGTCAGCCGTTGATCGGGCGCGCTGGTTATCGCCTGAGTGATGAGGTCGGCGTAGCTCAGGTTCCCCCAGGCGTTCCTCCGCGACGAGTTCTTCTTCACCGGCAGCAGACCCTGGGCGAGTTGCCCCTGATGCGGCGGCGTACCGCTCTCGGCACCCTCCTTCGTGGCCGGCGCGTTACCTTCCACGTACCCTTCCGGCCGCGGTAACGGCCATGTGTTGGACCGCGCGCGGGTTTGCGGCTCGAATCCGGTCTCCAGATCCGGCGAGGTCGAGAACTCGAACGAGACCCCCTTTTTCTGCGCCTGCTGCTGCTGTTGCTGTTGCTGCTGCTGCTGCTGCTGCGACGGGGTCATCGACCCCGACGCCGTGACCGGCACCGAATCCATCATGTTCGCCGGGCCGTCCTGCGAACTCCGCTGAAATTCGCGATCGTGCGCGTAACTGCCCGACGGAGATCGGTAACCGCCGACGATCGGCGGCACCGAGAAGATCCGTTCGCGCGCGCTCGACACGTCGGATTGCGTTTTGAGCCGCACTATCACTGGAGTCATGCACGTGTGTGCGTGTATGTGTATGTGTGTGTGTGTGTGTATGCGCGTGCAAGCACGCGTGCCCAACGGCCTTTGTACGTTCCCGCTCGGAATGAAGGCTCGTAGACGCGCTTCGTTCGCGCCGGATTCGAGTCAGTGTGTCGCTGAGGCTACTGCTGCTCCTGTTGCTGCTGCTGCTGCTGCCGTCGCCGGCGTTGTCTCTTCACTCTTTCCCGACACTGGAGTTCTTCAGCACATCACCATCCGAAACCGGAACCGATCGGACGAGAGATCGGTTACGAGCGACGTTTACGGGCGAGACTCGGCGCGGGTCGACGCTCACGCGCGCCGGGGACCGGGGAGACGAAGCTCCGTGCCCGAGCGACGTTCGACGACCGGGTTCGCGGGAAGCGGATCGGTTGCGGCCGTGCTCGCGTGCGACTGTCGACGGCGGTGAACCAACTGAGGATTCCGACGGGAGCCGTTCTGCGTGCCGAAAGAGCGCGCGCGAGCGAGAGAGACGTAGGAGAGGAGCAGAGGCGGCGGGGAAGAGCGAGAGGGAAGGAGTGAGATAGTCGGACCGGAGCGCGCGAAGTGCGGCCGAGCGAAGAGACAGAGAGAGAGAGAGAAAGAGAGAGAGAGAGAGATAGAAAGAGAGAGAGAGAGAGAGAGGGAAACAGATAGGCGCTCGGAGCGGCGGAGAGAGGAAGCGAACCACGTGGTCAAACTGTGTTTACAAGCCGTGCCGTCCGGGGGTCACGTGGCCATGTTTTGATAGGAACTTGGCCCGCTGCATGAGCGAATGAATCTACGCTCTACGTCGTCGCTGCCGAAGGCTGCCCGGCGCGGTATCGCGGCGTGATTCGCGCGCGGCGAACACTCCTCTCCGCCTGCACGGCCGGCGGCTGGCGGCGCGATTTTCGGCAGAGACCGCCGACGCGACGCGCGACGGCGTGATCGCGATGACGGTGGTGACCTTTGGTGCCCTCGTTGCCCTTGGGAGACCGTTCCCCCTGGTATCTCTCATCGATACCCTCGCCGGGTCCTCCGCGCTGTCGCTTAGGCGCGCGCGTGTGCGAGTTCTCCTCTCGCGATCGGAGCACGGAGCACCCGATCGCGCCTCTCGAATTCCGCGCACACGTGGGAGTCCTCACTCCTCCGGATTAGCTGTCGTCCGTTGACGGTCGCCCGCGCGTTTCCTCGGATCGACGGAAGGGAGTGAGAGAGATCTGCGAATCGCGCGGAATGCTATCGCTCGCTTTCGTGACTCGTGAGAAACGGATGATCTCGCATGTATCGGTCAGGAAATGAAAACCTATTCACTACGTGTACAACTTGCCGGCAAGGCAGCGCGGCGCATACTGGCGAATTCCTCCGGCCGGCGCTCGGAACCGACCGAGCGAGGCCGAAGTTGCGGAGGAGCGAATTTGCGACGCCTGTCGCCGCACTTCGGCGCGCCGATCGTCCGACGCGCAGCGCGCGAGAGGGAAAAAGAGAGATCAAGAGGGTGGGAGAGGAACGAGGAAGACAAGACCGTGAGAGTACTCTCGCGGCGAGCGGGAGGGGGAGGATGTGCACGGAGGGTACTCGAGAGTGGCGTAGCTGGTGCCGCTGGTGGGTGTCTCGACCGCCTCGGCGGTGGGAGTAAGAAAACCAGAGTGGGAGACGTGCGATAGTGGGGGAAGGAGAGAGGGACGAATGAGGGCGAGAGAGACGGCTATAAATTGCAACTTTGTGTAGGGTAAAGGGGAGTGGGGGACGTACGGTAGAAAAAGAGAGGAGTCGCGGAGCGACTCGGGAGTGGGAGAGGGATGAGAGAGCGCGATAGAGAAGGAGGGGGAGTGCAGCGTGCTCTCGTCTAACGGGTGGGCGGGAAAAGGGGTTATACGCTGTGCCCCCAGGGTTAGGCATCGCACTGCGCGCAGAACCCGCGAGGAGGGAATTCGCACGCGGTGCATCGCTCTCTCCTCTTTCTTTCCCCCCTCTTTCTTTCTCTCTCTTTCTTTTCCTCCTCCTCCTCCTCGTCTTCGTCCCCCTCCCCTCCTCTCTTCGTCCTCCCTGTCCTATCTCTCTTCCCAACCCCGTTTCTCCTCCCGCCATTCCGTCGCGATCTTCGCCTACGTTCCTCTCGGCTCGACTTTGCGGCAACCCTTCCGTCCCTTCCGGTACTTTTTCGTATCGCTACTCTGCGACTTGTAGAATTCGAAGATTCCCAACGGCCGATCGAAATAACTCGGCCTGTTGTTTTCGGTCTGCGTGCCTATCGAATGGTACAGCGTCCTCCGAAAGCCAATGGAACATTCCTGAATACGTTCGCGAACATTGTTGCATCGCGGCCGGCGCGGCCGGATGCGAATTCTTCGTCGAAATATTCGTCGAAAAAAATTGAAGTATAGCCCGTTTTTTTCACTCTCGCAATCGCGTAAAGTCCCGAGTGATCGTTTTTCCGGCAAAGATATTTTTCTCACGTTGTCTCTTATCTTCGATATTTATAGAGAGAAGAGCGTAGAAAAAAAAGGATTTTAGGTACAGAATCTTTTGCTTAAAGTCAAGAAACATTATACAAGCAAACTGTCACAAACTATTATTATTGCGCGATCAATATTAAGAAATCCTAAATCGCAGTTTCGTACGTCTGAATAAATCGGAGTCTCAAAGAACTTTACAAAGAATTCGGGATATTTCCGGAGTTATGTTGTGCGTGCGTACAACGTTTTAATGGTTTCAAATACATTTACCTCGTTTCAAAAATCCTGGTTCAAAAATAGACGCAGAAGACGATTAAGGCATGTCCTATTATCATATCCCAAGTGGTTGCAACTTTTTCCAACCCCGCAGTTATTTTCGACATATTCCGTCGAAGAGACATATTACTCTGAAGTATCCAGAGCCGGAGCTGCTTGCCCGCCCTCAAAGATACCGTCAATTAAATTGCACTTTCTGTCACAACAGATTCCCGGGTACTTTTTGCGCGCGCTCTTAATTATTCGCCGATGTCCGATGTTGTCTGGGCGAATAATTTCGAAACCCTCCACCGTCCTTCAATTCGGCCATTGTCCGAGGTCTGTTGACATAAATCCTCGCGCGCTGAAGATATCCCCCGTCCATAAAAAGAAGTCGGCCGCTGAAAAGGGCAGGTAAATCCGACCATTGCAACCCGGTTGAAACAAGAAACGACGCGCTTGGTGGTGGCCAAACACGTACGTGCGTACACGCGCGCGCGTACATATCCGTGTCGTCCTGTGCGGGCAGTCCCGGCTAACTTAAGGGGTACTGTCACCGCGCGTAATTATGCACTCTGAACCTTCGATTGTCCGGCGGATATCCCCCGATGCACCCATTGCTCAATGTTGTTTGCGCGTGAGCTAAAAACAGCGTGCCCGTAGCTCACCGCGCTCCGTGTACATACAACAGCGCGAACACGCGGCGTGGCTAAAAATAGAAGATGAATGGATTCTTAAGGACTACCTGATCGAGTAATTGTGCAAACAATTTGGACTACTACAGCGACTACTATAGCATGATCGTAAATTATACTTGTATAAATGAGCTGTAGTAATTTAAGGTCGTTTGATTTATACCGACGGTGCCAACAACTCTTGGGTTGTATCCCCATTAATCCGGAAAATGGCCGAGACTGTTAAAATAGTAGTGTATGAAAAAATGTAGTTAGCGCTACGCGAAACCCTAATGGGAAAACTTGAGCAAACACGAATTATCAATGTTGAAAATTTTACAAAATTAAAAAAATATAATATATGTGTTTAGTACAGTAAATAATACAATAAGATGTCAGATTTATCAATTTCTATGCCTATGTTGTATGAGTTTTAGTTTTATTGTTAGTTGAAATTTCAAAAGTGTAATACATTTCCTACTCAAATTATTTCTTTCTTTGATAGCTGTAATATCTAAGCTATCTATTCATTTATCAATAATCTATTCATTTGATGACAATTTAAAACTTTTCTGAACAAGAATTTAGAAGATATCACGCAATAATGACGAATAATTAAAAGTTATGAAACATACGAAGTTTTGAACGTTCCTAGATTTTTATTTTGACTGTACTCTGTTATGGGACTTCTTCGATTCATGCCGATCCCTAAGCATGCATCTCCTTCGCGCAGAGCTGAGATACGCGTTGGATAATAAAGAACTAAAGAACACGATTTTAGCATCCTTAAGTAGTCCGCAACCTAATCATTTTCAAGTACCGTCCCGATTAAACCTGTCCAAAAAGGCGCATAAGAAACGTACAAGCTGTTTACTCCGGGAACAGCATATAACTTGGACTTTTAAATCTTTTTATATACTGCTGCACCGTGGTACGCGTAATCTTATCGTATACTTTTAAATTCATTCGAGTGAATACCAAACACAGGTAATTGATTCGGAGTTTCGTACATGTTGATTGATGAGATTTAAGCAATGGCACAGATATCGCAGACAGATATCCCCTATATATTTTCAGATTCACTTTCGCAAGACGTTCAACGCCAAGGGTGTCCGTCTGGTTTCCATCTCATATTAAACTACATCTCACACGTTAAACTACATCGCGCACCCTACGCTAATACACAAATTGAACATAGAGTTCTGGCGTCAAACATGCAATGTAAATGCGGATCATTGCGTCTCGTAAAATAATTTGAATGTCTTTCAAAACATAAGATACATAAGTAGATCGTTACCTGAATTTATGATATCAGTCTATTATTTTGATTGTAATAATATCATTTGAGAGACTCTCCACATTCTCCATAAAATTAGAATTGTGGCATGTTTTACTGGCAATCGTTTTCCCCGAAAAGCGGATCTTTCGGGGGTGAAAAGAGTTATTCCGAGGCCCTAAATGCGAAACTTTATCGTGTGAAATCGCACATACGGAGAAAATTAAGGCGAAAGAAAGCGTTAGCTACCGGTAACCCTCGGCCATTAGATTCTCCTAATAGGAGAAAGAGAGAAAGGCAAGGATAAGTTCGGACTATCAATTACATCAACCCAATTCCGGAGCTTACTTTACGCCGACTCGAATCCGGCCAGCTTGCTAAATTTGTTACGCTAACGAGCGTTGCACTCGTCGAGCTACCGCCGCTGTGTGTAACTTTTTGTTTAGTTGGCTATGAAAATAAACGCGAATTACGACGTTCGTTAACTCGATCGGCGGCTATCACGGGTCGATAGTTCGCGTATGCAGCGCGCATCTCGCGTCGCTAAGTTAGGATAGCGCAGTCGTCTATGAAGTTTCCATGAGAATGAACATGTAATTGGATCGTATGTATGTGTGTGTTTATTTGTATGTATTCTATAATAAATATCAATAACTGATCATTATAGCTATTGACCGGAAAATCTGGTTCAGTCTAAAACAGTGCGTCACGAAGAATGTCACTTAACATTTAAGTTTTCACTGTGTCAGAATTTTATATTATCAGTTTCCTGGTGCGACATAGATGGCAGGTTTCGCTGTTAATGTGGTACGTATAGCTAATTGCTCGCATTACTTATAATAATATATATCTTAAATTTCTTTCCAGAAATATAAATACATATTAAATATTTTACATCAATCAAAAAGATAAAAAAAGTTATATACGCATCTTTAATTAGATAATCATAATTTCGATATCAATATCTAATAAGAATATCTAATATCTACATTATTGTATGCACAAAATAATTAATCTGTTCTTTTAAAATGTCTTCTCATAAGAAGTACGATACAATAGAAGCTAGCTTGAGAGTTCTTATCATTCATGAAGATGAGCTTTCAATTGTTTTATTTTGTTTTAGATTAGTTTTAATTTGTTCATCATTGACATAGAATATATTTTTCACATATGATAACGCACTCGCGTTCGCTTCCTTTTCTCAAGGAGGTCGATTCTGTATTTTGAGACGAAGTGAAAATTACAAAAGTGAACAGATTTATTAGATTTCGACAAATAAAATTGTAGATTTTCTAGTGAAGTTCCTCACTTTTGTTAATTTTCACCTCGTCCCAAGATACAGAATCGACCCCAAGCTTCAAATTGCAGAATGTGAAATTCAAAGTTGTGTAGCTTCCGAAGGTTTTCTGATTCCTACATTATTCATTGTTGGTCAAACCAATACGATAAAACGACCTCGCGCGCATTATTTATATTATCTAATATTTTATCATTTCAATATTTTATTAGAATTTACATTAATGTATTTATTATATATTTTTATATGAAAAATATTATGTAACGGCAAAAGATATTGTCACACAGCGATCCTGGTCGATAGATGGCGACGGCGGCTTGGCTGACGACCAGACAGCTGGCAAGGGCGCCTTTTACATGCTCGCTTGAATGGGAGAAGCAGCCGGCTGCTCGGCGACTGGTTGCCAGACCGGCCGGCACTTCGCGTACCATCGTCGTGGTGCGCGGTACGTTCGCACCGATGTGCGCCATCGTTTCGCGTGTTTTCCGCGTCCCTTCCCGATTTGATCGCAGATCTTCCGTAAAAAAGTTCGCGCGAAAGAATCTCGCAAGTGGCGGTATTTTCAAAGAATCCACCGTGATGTCGCGCACGCGGTGCGACTTTCGAAAATCGAGCGTCGGCTCGTGACGCGCCGCGTGTTGCCTCGATCTCTCGTGGTTCGACAGGAGTGCGGAGTGAAAGTGCTGGGAGAATTAAAAAGAAACCGAGTCGCGGTGACGTGATAGAAGGATATACGACGGTTCGACAGTGACGGGAAGAAATCGGCGGCACACCACCACCGCGCAGCATGGGGTCGTGCCGGCGGCACGGAGGATCCGCGGAATTCGGCCGATTTCGCGGATCGCCGTGCAGCGACGCGGTGCTCCGATGATGAGGGAGAACTTTGCGCTGAAGTGTGTTATGCGCGAGTGCGGTCGATCAGAAATACGCTACCCAGCAGCAAGCCGCCGCCGGCACCGTCGTCGTGATGCCGTTCGTGATGCGGAAGGTAGAGCCGCGGCACGTGTGCCGCGGCCATGTGCCGGCGGGCTCGCATCCGGGCTGGCCGGTGGGCGCCGAGCTCGAGGCGGTGGCGAACGGCGCTCTCACCAGCTCCCTCAAGCAACTGGCCTCCCTCCTGACCGTCGCGGAGGACATCTTCGCGGGCCTCACCGTCGAGCTGGCCCAGGTCGCCGAGAGAAGCGGACACCTACGTCGCAAGCTCGACAAGGTCGAGGAGCGACTCAGCACCGTCGATCCCAAGAAGATACCAGTCCGTGAGTATTCTGAGTGGTTTATTTATCTTGCTGAATTAATTCGCGATCGATTGGGTGATAGATCATTCGGTGGACGCGATCTTATCGGCGTGATGCAATTGCTACGCGCAATTGTTTATATACGGTGCTTCAAGAAATAGTGAAATTGGCGCTTGTTAGTCCCTTCTCGATCGTCGACAGTGATTGTCGGAGTTATAAAGTTTAAATTCTCTGAGAATACAAGAAGTATAGGAAACGCTGACTATTGCTATGCTTATAGCGTGGAAACGCTGCTTCAAAGTACTTCAAAGCCGTTGAATAAAGTTAGAAACTAAGCAAATTGCCCCAGGGGATATAGACGTTGTAACGCACACGCGAAGAAAACTAACGCGAGATGTAACGTTCGCGCTCAAATTGCTTCAATTTCGTAACTTTCGGTACTTACGATATTTTTCCACGTCGTGAAACTCGAGGCAACTCCTCGAAATATTTGATACGCTAACATTGCGATCGCTTTTAAATTCGATACCCAATTAAATCGTAGAAGCTTTGACCAGTTTCTATTTTTGTAGATTCTAAATTCTTCCCACATTTCCCACACTTTCTTTAGCGAAATTTAAATAAAAGTATCATTTCTTCGCTAGATGGTTTTGCAAACTATAATAGCTTCTCTCTCGTGATGCTATTGTTTTCGGCGGTCCTTTCACCTATTTACCGAAGGGATGTTAAGAAACATCATCCCCGTTCGATTTCACGGGGCCCCTACGCGGGGGCGAGGCGAGGATAAACAAGAATGAAAAAAGAGAGGAACGCCGCAAAGAGGTTTATGAGGAAAACGTTCGGAGTTACCTGGCCTGCACCGTGGGAAACGGATTGCAAGGTGTCCCGAAACTGAGTTTCACCTGGGTAGGGTATATTAGCTCTTACTTTGATGGAGGCATAAAGAGTTCCTTATTCTCGGCCTATCTTAATCCTAAACGTATGTCTCAGAGACACGAAACAGGGGACTTAAAAACGAGGTTACAAGGACCATTAATGAGTCGTTTGAAGATATCGGAATTATCCACTTCAGTCTCTAAAGATGTAATTAGAAGTACATAATGACTGACCTAATGGTTTTAAAAGAACCTATGGAATGTCTGTGGAATAACACACAAATCTTTAATCGTGTTTGCTGCATCTAAAAATTAAAAAAATATATATGTAAATTGGTACGATCGTTAAATTATGTGAGTTATGAATCTTGTATGTAACGCTTAGCAATATGAAAGTAAGAATTTGGAAATGTGCATACCATAAAAAGGGATTACATTATATATGAAAAAATGTTGTCTACACAACAGCTGTTACAATTCTCGTACGACAAATTAACATTTTTTGTACGTAAATGAATATTCTTCTTTTATTTACGGCGTTTGAAAGTCCATAAAGAAAAAAATAGTGATACCTTAAAAGTTGGATAATCGCGGGATATAACATCGTTAAAGTCCTTTTCGTCGAATTTAACATTTAAAAGGATTAGTTATAAATTCCGGTCACGCCTGAATGCGGCAGCGATTGAAGAGCGCAATTGAAAGGCCGGAGGAAAAAGTTCTCACCGACCGAAATTGCTTTAGCTCTAGTTTAAGTATCATCGGCGCCGCCCGCGGGAAATTAACGTCAGGTTTGACTTGGAGCCGCTTTTTACGACGCACGCGATCTCCGTTACTCCGAATAGTCGTAAAGCCAAGAAAAGCACGATTTATCGCCGCGCGATTCTGCCGTGCAAAACAATAGCGCACTTTTCTTTCCGAGATCAATTTCTTTCTGAGAGCAGTTCTTCCCGAGATTAGTGTCGACTTCTCGAAAGCACATCGACATATTTTAATCCTTTCCATTTATTTCATGGATACAGTTGCATGATTACAAATTTACTCAACTCCTTCAACAGAAATTGAAGGAGAAAGAAATATCTTTTTAATTTTCTATTTATATTAAATTCAATTTTCATTTATATTAAATCTGAAGATATACGCTACGCTCACACTTTTTCTTTCTATCATGTTCTTATAAAATTAAATCTATCATACAAAATACTTTAGGTTAATTCGTTTTAACTTACGACAAAACGGAAACGGAAGTTTGCGACAATTACCGACATAAATTGCTTGGACTTGTAAACAATTAAATCGCTCTTAGCTTTTATCTAAGATTGGAAATCGCGATTATGTTGCCAAGAATGTTGCTGTCTATGCGAAATGTCGCAGTCGGGGTAGATGTTAATTCCATGGCTTCCACGGCAAACAGCTGAGGCTTCTTCCTCCGTCCCAAACGGAGGGAAGAAGCGTCTTCCACCCTTAGGGATCGTTCGTTCGGCCTCGGGTAAGCGCCTATAAGAAAGAACCCGCGCTTTTTTCCAACCTCTCGTACCGCCGCGCCAGTTCTGAGTCCTGCAAAGACGCTGCTCGCTGAGACAGCTGACTCAGGTAATCGGCCGCACAAACGGCGCCGGGCCTCGGATTCTTCCCCGCGGGTCGGTGGGAATTTTAATTCCCAAGGGTGAAACAGGCTCTCCGTCGCCGTCGGGAAGAAGCAGATAAAATAACGTCTGCCGGGTGTAATTTAATGCCGGTGCGCGCGTTTATACGTTTATACGTTAATCGAATATATTCGATTTGCGAGGGAGAGAGCGATATTCGCTTATCTCAAAATTTATCCTCCAAAATATTTCTCTGGGGGTTTCGATTTTTCGCTGTGCTTCGTTTAAACACGACTCGCCACGACGATCAAGTCGATATAGTATTTTTGTTTGCGTTATTTATCATTTATACGTGGAATTACGTGTACCTTTGAAAGATTATTAAGACATCGTTGCAGCACGATTTAATAATTTATTACGTCCGCTAGATAATATTCTTATGCGCCGCCGACATTTAACGTAACTTCTCCCGAAGCTACACGAGTGCCGCGAGCAGCGCGGTTGAAAGTATGACTAGCCTTGAACCTTCAGGCTCAAGTATCTCGCCAGGGATATCGCGGATCCTGGTGAAATCAGAATTTACGTTCTCGAGGGGACACTCGAGGTCGAATCGAAAAGAGAGAAAAGGGAGAAGGAGCAAGAGGGAATATTGACATAAACATATCACTTATATTGCTGGCTCGCGTATCATACAAATAAATAATTTGGATGATACTTAATTTTAGATTCACTAAGAATTTTTTATAACTATGCGCATTACTTGTAAACTATGTCCATGAGATTCTTGGTTAAAAAGAAACTTACAAGTTAAAATTATCAATAATGTTTTTGTTCAAATATTACTCTAGAGTACAGTACCCTTCCGAGAAAATCTAAGTTTAATAAATTAGTCAAATTTAAAATAAGCAGAAATAAAATACGCAAATTTTTACCTTTCCCTTGGTTACCTAAGCAGATAAACGGATTGTTGATGTGTCAAACAATGGGACTGGTGTAAACAGTCTGTTAGACAAACGTGTATAAATTTAGGATCATAATATTGACTTCGGAAATCTAATATCGTTAATTGCGGTTCTGTAATATCGCGTCGAGAGCGTCGAGAGGATAGCAGTCGACCGGCTTCTGCGGAAATGGCCGTACGCAGGATGTGGTTCGACCTGGTCGAGCAGGTTCACCAGCACTCCGAACTACGAGCGAACGGTCAGTTTGATGGGCTTCCCATTGAGTATGCGGCCCTGCGAATATTTTTCCTCCGATTCGCAGTATTGACAGTAAAGCTATTTTTTACCTTTCTTGTACTTGGAGAAACTTTTTCATTATAGAGAGACAATGTGCCAGCATGACGTAGTTTTAAACGTAGTGTTTGCTAGAATTGTCACGCATTCTTTCGAGTAGATATATATAGGTAAGCTTTCACTTTTTAATGCTGCATCTAATTAAGAACACAATGTTGGTTATTTTTATCACATTGTTGTTTTTTTCGAAGATGGATGGAATACTTGACAAGAGGAACGTTTGAATAAAATTTACTTTCACACGTTATTAGCCAGTTTTTTTTATTTGGTCTTGAACCACGTGAAGCCATTCGCTTTCCTCTGTAGGTAAATACACTGCGATATTTCAAGTTTACTGCTGCTCCTTTAGGCAAATATACGAGAGCCTTCAAGCCTTTGCTACCTGCTTAAATAATCATTTTAATGAAGGCATTAATTCATAAGCACGTTCTGTAACGTTTCCTCTTTTTTTATGATAAAACATGGAAATTTTATGAAGTGTCCAAAACAAATCCGATATTTTTTTAAATTTTACTTTCTTTAAGAGATATAATTCAACAAATTTTTATAAATAACACAGCGGTTTAAAATTATTATAAACATATGACTTACAAAATAAAAAAACAAGGATAACTTTTTAAATTCTACTTTTTAATGTATAATTGTATGAAAATTTTTATAAACTTTTTTGGAAGCTTATCATCGCGTTATACTTTCTTCTGGGTTAAAATTTCACATTGTTGCTATTTGAGGGTTAAAGAGTTTCCCGCGTCAGCTGTTTAGCTCGAATTTTTCCCCTTTCTACCCCGTGAATCCCCGCTGTGGATATCAGGCATGGACCCCCGTGCACGAATAATAACGACGTAGACGGAAATAAAAGTGGGCCGCATCGGGCGCAACGGTCCTCGGCTGTAGCTCCGTCTCCGGTTTTTCACCACCCCTCGTCGTTGCCTCCTTTATTTCCTCGCCCGGCTTCTTACGCTTACTTCCGGTTGCCAGCTGGCATCAAAGAACAGGAGGGGGGCTCATCGAGGGGTGACGCAAGCACGGGAGAGGTAGGCATCTACACAGGGGAACTTTCCCGCTTAATTTTAGCCGGCTTGACACCGAGGCACGTGTCCCGAATAAAACTGCTCTTTACCGCGTTAGAGTACATCGCTATATGGAAAAAGTTCGTCCCTAGGCGATAAGGTTTGTCCGCCCCTATTAGATATCGACGAAATATATTGACTTATCTACGGTGAACTATCATTCAAAAGCAAAAAAGTTTAAAGGTATTATTTGAAAAA